TGTTTTATGGGGATTTGGCCCCGGTACACAGCACCAAATGTATATACATCCACGGAAACTTTCGCTGTCGCGCACTCCCAAAAACTTTTTTGCGTTGTTTTTAAGGGATTTTGGCCCGGTACACAGCACCAAATGTATATACATCCACGGAAACTTTTCGCTGTCGCGCACTCCCAAAAACTTTTTGCGTTGTTTTATGGGACGGCCTGGTACACAGCACCAAATGTATATACATCCACGGAAACTTTTCGCTGTCGCGCACTCCCAAAAACTTTTTTGCGTTGTTTTAAGGGACGGCCCGGTACATACACCAAATGTATATACATCCACGGAAACTCGCTTTCGCGCACTCCCAAAACTTTTTGCGTTGTTTTAAGGATTTGGCCCGCACACAGCACCAAATGTATATACATCCACGGAAACTTTGCGCTGTCGCGCACTCCCAAACACTTTTTTGCGTTGTTTTAAGGGATTTGGCCCGGTACACAGCACCAAATGTATATACATCCACTTGAAACTTTCGCTGTCGCGCACTCCCAAACACACTTTTTTGCGTTGTTTAAGGGATTTGGCCCGGTACACAGCACACCAAATGTATATACATCCACGGAAACTTTGCTGTCGCGCACTCCCAAACACTTTTTGCGTTGTTTTAAGGGATTTGGCCCGGTACAGCACCAAATGTATATACATCCACGGAAACTTTCGCTGTCGCGCACTCCCAAACACTTTTTTTGCGTTGTTTTATGGATTTGGCCCGGTACACAGCACCAAATGTATATACATCCACGGAAACTTTCGCTGTCGCGCACTCCCAAACACTTTTTGCGTTGTTTTAAGGATTTGGCCCGGTACACAGCACCAAATGGTATACATCCACGGAAACTTTCGCTGTCGCGCACTCCCAAACACTTTTTTGCGTTGTTTTAAGGGATTTGGCCCGGTACACAGCACCAAATGTATATATACATCCACGGAAACTTTCGCTGTCGCGCACTCCCAAACACTTTTTTGCGTTGTTTTAAGGGATTTGGCCCGGTACACAGCACCAAATGTATATACATCCACGGAAACTTTCAGCTGTCGCGCACTCCCAAACACTTTTTTGCGTTGTTTTAAGGATTTGGCCCGGTACACAGCACCAAATGAATATACATCCACGGAAACTTTCGCTGTCGCGCACTCCCAAACACTTTTTTTGCGTTGTTTTGGGGATTTGGCCCGGTACACAGCACCAAATGTATATACATCCACGGAAACTTCGCTGTCGCGCACTCCCAAACACTTTTTTGCGTTGTTTTGTTGATTTGGCCCGGTACACAGCACCAAATGTATATACATCCACGGAAACTTTGCTGTCGCGCACTCAAACACTTTTTTTGCGTTGTTTTAAGGATTTGGCCCGGTACACAGCACCAAATGTATATACATCCACGGAAACTTTCATGTCGCACTCCCAAACACTTTTTTTGCGTTGTTTTAAGGATTTGGCCCGGTACACAGCACCAAATGTATATACATCCACGGAAACTTTCGCTGTCGCGCACTCCCAAACACTTTTTTGCGTTGTTTTAAGGGATTTGGCCCGGTACACAGCACCAAATGTATATACATCCACGGAAACTTTCGCTGTCGCGCACTCCCAAAAACTTTTGCGTTGTTTTAAGGGATTTGGCCCGGTACACAGCACCAAATGTATATACATCCACGGAAACTTTCGCTGTCGCGCACTCCCAAACACTTTTTTGCGTTGTTTTAAGGGATTTGGCCCGGTACACAGCACCAAATGAATATACATCCACGGAAACTTTCGCTGTCGCGCACTCCCAAACACTTTTTTGCGTTGTTTTAAGGGATTTGGCCCGGTACACAGCACCAAATGTATATACATCCACGGAAACTTTCGCTGTCGCGCACTCCCAAACACTTTTTTGCGTTGTTTTTAAGGGATTTGGCCCGGTACACAGCACCAAATGTATATACATCCACTTGAAACTTTCGCTGTCGCGCACTCCCAAACACTTTTTTGCGTTGTTTTAAGGGATTTGGCCCGGTACACAGCACCAAATGTATATACATCCACGGAAACTTTGCTGTCGCGCACTCCCAAACACTTTTTGCGTTGTTTTATGATTTGGCCCGTACACAGCACCAAATGTATATACATCCACGGAAACTTTCGCTGTCGCGCACTCCCAAACACTTTTTTGCGTTGTTTTAAGGGATTTGGCCCGGTACACAGCACCAAATGTATATACATCCACGGAAACTTTCGCTGTCGCGCACTCCCAAACACTTTTTTGCGTTGTTTTAAGGGATTTGGCCCGGTACACAGCACCAAATGTATATACATCCACGGAAACTTTCGCTGTCGCGCACTCCCAAACACTTTTTGCGTTGTTTTAAGGGATTTGGCCCGGTACACAGCACCAAATGTATATACATCCACGGAAACTTTCGCTGTCGCGCACTCCCAAACACTTTTTTGCTTTGCTTCATGATATTTTGTAGCCAAAGGATTCGTATACATACGCGAAAAAACCGTTTGTGCGCGCAACATCCGGTTCCAGAGTTAGTAATGAAATAAAATTCCAAAAGTTTAAACGCGGAAAAAATAAAAGTCTCATTATGAACCGATGCTCTTCAAATTTTGCACGAAAACACACATTACTATGAAGATCGTTTAACCAGCTTTCCACCATATTTTTAAAATTTTAAAACGAATTTCAAAAATTTTAAAATTCATTTTAAAATCGGAAAAAAATGTTAGAAAGCTGGTTCTGTCCCAAAACGATGTTCATAGTAATGTGTGTTTTCGTGCAAAATTTTAAGAGCATCGGTTCATAACGAGACTTTTGGTACACCTCCGCGTTTAAACTTTTGGAATTTTATTTGCTATATCCTTTGAATTGATGTTAAAAGCACACGGTTTTTTGCCTATGTATACGAATCCTTCGGCTACAAAATGTCATAAAGCAATGCAAAAAAGTGTTTGGGAGTACGCGACAGCAATAGTCCCCGTGTATGTGCCCGAATTTGGTACTATGTACCGGACCAAATCCCTTAAGACATTCTATAGCCAAGTGAGTTCTATACATTGGCGTGAAAACCGTTTGTGCGCGCAACATCCGGTTGGGAATTTATTCGGTGAAATAAATTCCAAAAGTTTAAGCGCGCGGAGGTGTACCAAAAGGCAAATGTTGGGCGTTTTGTTGCTGTGTGTGACTGGCTTATTGTCGTTTTCAGGAGCCAGTGGTGACGAAGTCAAGTTCAGTATCCCGGCCGGCATCCCAAAGTACGTCCTCATCGCAGAATCCATTCCAAATAGAGGCAGCAATGCCAACCCCATAAACGACGAGTTTGGCTCTAGCTTATGGCACAGCTCTCGAACCGGGACAGAAGCGATACCCCGTAGACGGTGATCCGCACTGCCGTGGCTGCGTGGCGGCACTGGCGGGATACAAGAACAGTGACTTTGTGCAGACACAGTGCTGCTCCGCGCACCACAGGGCCTGGCAAATAACCGCAGCCTCCGCGATGTTTTGCCGTACCGCTTCCATTTGGCACCGAGGCAATAAAGGGATAGGTACGAGTGGGATAGGTACGAGACAGCTGGCGAGATATGGCAAGGTATTTCCCGTACCGATATTTCACGAGGCGATATAAGATTGCATGAGTGTTCTTGCTGATTTCTCTTAAGCCTGGGCTGGTTTTTATAATCGTTATTTTATTTATCGGATCTTATCTAAATCTAATCTTTTCAGGAAGTGTACTGTACCAGCATTGTTACCGCAAATAAATCGGGATTGATATGGCACCGCGACATTTCGCCGCCGACAACTCGTCGCAGGACTTTTAGTTGCAGACATTTTGCCACAAGGTCATCCCGCCTCGCGATGTTTCGTCGCGAGACATTTAGTCAGCTGGGCAACACGCCTCGAGACATTTCGTCGCCAGGCCGCTTAGACGCCAATACATTTCCCAGCGAGGCTGTTTCGACAAAGAAGTCCTCTTTAGAAGACATACTCTCTTTCAGGCCAACTGAAACCGTCGAGGAACATAAAAAAACAATTCAGGAACACAGAAGCAGAAAACCTAAGAAACTTCAGAAACCTAAGAAAACCAAGAACCCCGAGAAACCTAAGAAACCTAAGAAACCTTAGAAACCTAAGAAACCTAAGAAACCTAAGAAACCTAAGAAAACCTAAAACCTAAAAACCTAAGAAACCTAAGAACCTTAACAACCTTAAGAACCTTAAGAAACCTTAAGAAACCTAAGAAACCTTAAGAAACCTAAGAAACCTAAGAAACCTAAGAAACCTAAGAAACCTAAGAAAACCTAAAACCTAAAAACCTAAGAAACCTAAGAACCTTAAGAACCTTAAGAACCTTAAGAAACCTAAGAAAACTAAGAAACCTAAGAAACCTAAGAACCTTATGAAACCTAAGAAAACTAAGAAACCTAAGAAAACCTAAAAACCTAAGAAAACCTTAAAACCTAAGAAAAGCTTCCAAGAAACCAGAAAATTAAGCGGGTCGAATTCTTTTTCGGAAAAGTGTCCGCGACCAGACGTCTTGCGTCAAAAAGTCACAAAGTTAAAATGTCTCAAAGCAAGTTGTCCCAAACCGAAGTGTCCTTGCGTCAAAATGTCCCGCGGCGAAATTTCTTCGCGGCGAAAAGTCGTGCGTCGAATTTAATTGCGACAAAATGTCACACTCCCAAATGTCCGGGTGCGATTGAGGCACGATATAGATGTAAGGGGTCATCAAATCGTTATCTGGTAAGTAGTTACCGAGCATTCCATAATATTATTCAGCAAAGAAAACATGATTTACTTGATAATGAATCATTATCAGAGAAAATGCTAGTGGGGATGATTAAAATGAATATGCGTAACGAGAACCCAGTTTCTTAAAGAACTTGTATCATATAAGTAATAACCATGCAAAAGATAAACAAGAATTTATCGCATTAAAAACGAAATAAGCACGGGAAACGGCTAGATTTTCTTGGAAGCGGTATAAACGTCCACTACGGGGAGAATGGCAGATGCATTATGGCAGATGCATGAACGTTTCAGCAATTTGGCTCTGGTCTGGTGATATCCATCGTACCGTTTAAACCATTCCATTTCCCTGATCAACGCGCACAGTGTCAGGGTAGTCAGCGCTTGCGGATCGAGACAACGCAGCTCTTGTTGCGTCCAGTGCCGCTTATTCCGATAGGGCGAAGTGGCCCGGTCTTTCTCGTACGCTACCAATACCTAGGGTAGGAATAATAACTAATATAAGTAAATGCCGACAGCGTTTAGCGTTACATGGAGTACCATCTACGGCAATTTTCTCTTTTCGCTGCATGTTACTGTTTATGGCGCAATCAAGTGAGTTTTTCCGTAAGTACTAAGCGTACGCAAGTAAAACCTACTAGACGAACAATTTTGTCGTTGGAGAGAAGCCTAAAAAGTTAACGGTTCTCAATTCCGTGATCAGAGTGAATAGTATTTAGCTTATTAGTCTGGATCGACGGAAAAAGGGAAAACTGTCTCTTTGACTAAGTTGTTCTTACCGTATAAAGGACATGCAGTCCGAATGTGTAGTAATCGGCGTTGGCGCACTCTCTGATCCATTTCGCCACCGTGGGCATGCCGCTCGCATGGACCGGCAACTGCCTTTCCAACAGCCCATACAGGCCTCCACCATGCGCGTACAGTCCTGGCCTAACTCGATCCGGTCGGCTCTGAGCGTCGGCTCGTCGAGGCGTTGACCCAGTCCCACCAAACGGCAGCTTTTCCACACAACCCTCGCCACAGCCGATGCACATTGTCGCAGCACGTTGCTCAGTCTCAGCACTTCCTGGTGCATATTGCCGCAGCCTCCGAGGTCCCATACGCCCTGATAGCAATACACCTGCAGTTTCTTAGTCGGTTGCTGCGGCAACTGAGCGTACACCGCCTCCAGGAGGCACAGACAGTCCGATAAGGCGGGCTCCATGTGTGCCTTTTCGGCCTGAACAAGGACCACATGCGAGGTGGATGTCGTCATGCAATGCACGATCGCGGAACCAGTGATGTAGGCGGGGTTTTGGAAGAGTTTAATGTTCATCCGTAGCTCTGGGAAATGAACGGGCTGATTGATTATCGCGTTCCAATCCGCAGACCCGGCTCATCCTTGTGCGTTGGATTGTATCCGTTGTTTGGAAGATGCATCGGAGGATATCTGAAGATAAGAGGGACAGACTTTGCGTGACGCCTGCAAAATCAGAACCGATCGGCACTTTCTTTAGAGGTAGCTGCCAGAAGTCGTCAGTGAAGGTCCTTCCTCTTTTCAAACGCCATTCCATCTCGATGTCGGCGTTTGTCGTCAGAAGCTCCTATTTGAGAGGAAGGCAACTTAGGTTAATTTAGTTTAATTTATAGATGGAAAATAGTTAACATGGAATTCAGCTTTAAGTCGATTTAAAACGAAACATTATTCAAGTTTAAAATAACAATTTTTTCGAAGTACGTGTAATTCCAGTTAAGCAAAATAGTTAAGTCCAATTTAAATTGCCCTTGTATAATCCCGAAAAATGCTGAGCACGTTTCCTTCGCTGCATCAGCTCATCAGCTCGATGTCTGCGAATTGGTGCGCAAATAAAAACTGAATGAAGCAAATGTCAAAAGGCCATGTGGTTTCTGTGAAACAGCGAAGTTGATCAACCCGGTTTGACGCTGTCAACGGAACTTTTAAAAGATACTGAACAAACAGGCCGCAAACAACGCATTTAGTCCATACACCGTATTGCCAGCCGTGAAGGCGACGACGCAGCAGACTTTACGTGAGTCAGACAACAAAGTCTAGCAACTAAAAAAATTACCAGACGAGGAACCTGGTCGATAAAAAAAAACAGTACGACAAAAAACAACAGAAAACAACTAGCATCTGTCCGAGAGCGGGTGAAGCGGTAGAGCACTGCTCTCTACCGACCCGTTTCAGTGTATTTTGTAAGTGCCTAGCAACTGCTAATTTTAAAATTGACACTGCAGTAATACAGTGTGGTAAAGGAAATCTGTGACCTTTGTCGCATTCTTCATAGTTTGGTTCCTCTTATTGCAAAATGCGTACGAAATTTGCTTTCCTTGGTAGTTGGTACCAAACAAGGAAAACATGTACACACATACGCTAAGTCGTCCGGTGAATCCTTTGGCTATAGAATGTCATAAAACAATGCAAAAAAGTGTTTTGGAGTGCGCGAAAGCGAAATTTTTAGCACATGTACATAAATTTGGTACCACGCACCGGCCCACTTCCCATAATGCATTTGCATTACTTCCAGTGCTACAGTTTCCATTGCATTTTCTTCGCCGATGATGGTTATTCATGTATCGCATCGTCTAGGTACGCGGTAATGCCTTTTCACGGAATTAGCTTACTGCTACTCAGAAAGATGCTCCTAACCGGATACATTGCACACGCAAATCAATAACGGATAGCACCTGTTCCACGCCATGTGATGATAGTGCTAAAATTCGGATCCGAAAGGACCGAAATTACTGACAACTGCGACTATCTGCTGTTCGTCGCTTCAGCGTGCTTTGATGTGGTAAATCTCAGATAGATCATCTGGGAGATTTGTGCTGACATGCCGAATACATATTCCCTGCAGCAAGCTGCCTCGTTTCACGTGTTGAGCGAAAACGGTCTGCCGTTTGCGGTGAGCGAGCGTTGCACCTAATGGGATAAACGGAGTTGACGCAATGCCTCGGGGTGTGCCCAATAACCCAGCCAACCAAGATGTGCCCAGTTAGGTTAATGTTCTCCAGTGCTCTACGAAAGATTACCGATCGCGGTCGTGGAAATTCAGCACAAGCTTTCGGATGACTTGAAACAGGCCCATTTTAACCGTTTCTAAACCAGCATATTGCGCCTTATTATAGTGTCGAACGATGAATGCTCGATAGAGTGACAGCAAATCGCTTCCGCTAGTTGCTTGTCAACGGTAACGGACGGTACTCCTGGCTTAACGCAATACGATGCGGCTGATTCCTGGTTGTATACGCTCAACGGCAGGGTTATCGGCGCCGGAAATCCCGAAGTGTAGCGTGCGCTAGAGGTAGCAAAGAAGGAAAATCGTATACGGCACCACCGTACACGGTCTACCGATTACATGATGGTAATTCTTCATGTGCTTATTTATATTTTGGTTAGCCCCGCCCTTTGAGCCTTTGCGAATGAATACCTTTCCACAAAAAATCAGAATTTTCTGACGTTTTTCCCGGGAAAGACCAAATACCAGTAGAATGTGATATTGAAAACTTCAGCAAGGATTTTATCAAAACAAATTTGGAGCATTGTCATCCGAATGAACATTCAGTTAGCATCCCATTCACTAAAAAAGTCCAACGAGTAATGATGATCATTGGCGCTGGAATAAATTTCGCTTCGAATGTCGTACAAATCCATAGGTAAGGTGCCGACTACCCGTCCCAGCATTTTTTCAGTGCCGGTCAAGCTCGCCCATATTTCGCTGCTGCGTGAGCAAAAGGGAGACGCTCTGCAAATGGCGTAAGCGGGATATTCGTAAGGGTATGCATTGCAGTTTTCGGGAATACCTACGTACATACAGATACGTACAATACACACTCTTTCGATACGATGTTAAGAAATTACTCCTACTTGTAGCCATTGCGGTGCTCCTGCTTTTTATTCGCGGATGAGTTTGTGTAAGGGATCTAGAATCAATGTGATTCCGTACCGTTGTCTCCAGTTTTTAAAGGAAGACTCTTTGAAGAAACGACGCCAGTACTAGCAGAGAGATCCAATGTAACAAACTGATCGCAGTCCGTCCACCAAAAAATCTTCTGGTTCACCGCAATTAAATGTGAGTAATAATGGCGGTTCGAGAGTTTATTTTGCGCCATGATCCTTCACGTATGTCGGCCAGATAGAGATGGCGTCGACCAAATAGCCTGCGATATCAATCGTTTTTCTGTGCTTGTTATTTGCCAAACAACTGCGAAGTATGCGAAAATCCGTGGTCAATTTATGTAGAATTCGCTAACAGACCAAACAGAAATAAATCTGAGCGCAGTCTTAGTTGACGCCCCTTGATATATAAAATGTTTTAATTCGGCAATGGCCAGTTCACATAACAATAAGCTTGCGCTGGTAGAAACTAATTAAAATGATTGAAAATTTAAACAGTAAATGATATATATATATACGAGGTAAGATATGATTGATATATATACGAGGTAAGATATGCAGCATGATACTGGTACAATGGTTAGCCTGTGATGCGCATATAATCTGCGTGTCCTAACTGGTACAATCTCTCGAGAGTGCAACCTCGCAAAAAGTGCTTTCCTGTTTTGTATTGTTGAAACATGCAGTATATAATGTACCAGAATTCTCGTGTCAGTCAACAAAGAATACATTATTCTCTTGCCACTCATACTGCATATCAGTAACAGCATGATGAGAAGGAACTAGCCGCCCATGAAGGTTATTCTGCGTGTGAACGCCGCAGATGACTTCGTGATATATTTTCGAAGAACTGCGCAAACGCGGATGGGAAGAGAGCAATTTTCTGCCGGATGATTAAAAATATCAGCAAATGACACCGATAATGCCAACTGATTTAGGACTAACAATGTGCGAGTAATCGAAAGTAATCAGAAAGTATCGGGAATCATCACTTTTGCAGCCGTTAACCACACCAGTTCACAAAGTGCGTCTTAAATTAATATCTTACAGTGAGCCAAGGGCGCGCAAGAAATTCCAAGAAATTATTCTTCCTGATTCCAAGAAATTACCGATGTTCATGAAAAATTTGCTATTTGTTGATTAGTTTACCTTACATAACATAAAACAGCTGGGATGCACACCCCGCAAATTACGATTACTCGGAAGTGCTTAAGAAAGAAAGCGCCATTCACTCAAGTATCCGCTCGTGTTTACACGAATGGATGATGTGCAAATTTCCGCATAAGCGGAAGTCGGTACAAAGCCTCCCAGCAATAGCTTCCGTAAAATTCATTCTAGCAATTTCTCTTTCAGACATTTCGGATTAAAACGATCTCGATCTATAGTATTTGCCTTGTTTTGCGTAAAATGGAAAGCAGCCGAACAGTATATATCTCCTTTGTCGTGTCAAATTGCGGAACATTTTTCATTGTAATCAGAAAACTGGATGCCTTGTTTGCCGCCTAAACGAACCATGTATAACTTGTCCAACATCACCAACACGGGCGCGTGTCTAACGTGGGCAGTTTCTCCCAACTTTCGCGCTTTAATGACCCAGTACTTGGTCTTCAATTTTCTCACCACGATAACCAGCTCGGTGAATTTGTTAGTGTTCTACCGTTGGAAACAAAAAGAGCCCTTTCTCTTCTTCCATGTCGCATTGTCAGCAGCGGAATTGTTATGCAGCGTGGGCAGCTTCGGCGGATCCCTGAACCGGACCATCGACAACAGTATGCGCTATACTATTATAACACGGCTGGGTGTGGCCATCCGGGCGACGTTTGCACCGCTGATCAACCTCACGGTCATGCTGATCAGCATCGACCGTTGGATGTCTGTGGAATATCCACTGATTTACCGGCGCACGATCAACCCACTGTGGATTATGTTTCCCATCGTGTTCTTCTGGATCGGTGTGTGTTTATTCTATGCGCTGTTTTTCGGATTTCTCGGCCAGACGGTATTAATTGCTACGTGCAGTGATGTCGGGCAGATGGTGCTGAAGGATAAAACATGGATCACTTTTTATAGTGTACAGTTTTTCGCAACGCTCTTCTTCATAATGTTGCCGCAGTGTCGGACTTGTTGGATAGCACTGCGGATGAAAGTACGCCGCCACCGGGATC